TCACACCCACACAAAACTCACAAAATTTTGATGGCGGCTGTTAAAAAAAATTAGTTTCCCCTCGAAAAAAAAAACAATAGTTATTGCATTTTTACGGAAACTATGACCAATTAATTATTTCTTTTTATAAATTATTGTGTTATATATTACCAAAAATGTAAGTCGTATTTGAAAGTTTATTTATTTTATCGACGTTAATGTTTCCATAAATATATATTTTTTTATGATTTTTGAGCACATTATGCTTCAAGTGATTCACCGACAAAATAAGCATGTTGTTAATATAAAATGGCCTATTAATCATATTAAATAATAAAGTTTATTTAATTTTTTTTTTCAAACAATCTTATCGACAGATTTCTTATTGTGTTATTAAATTGTTTATTTTAACATTTTTCCTAATATAAATTTGTACAAAAATATAAGAGGTTAAAAAACATTTTTTTGATTTAACTTAATTTTAGTGAAAAACAAATCAAGGATACATTAAATAATTATTTAATTACTCAACAACTAAATTGTGTACAGCTATTAAGTTTTATTAGGATTTTATATTTAAATGTAAGAAAAATAACAACAATTTTATATGTGATAAGCGAGATAGGAGTTCAACAAGATATCATTGTTAAGAGGTAACTAGTAAAATAGTATCAGTTGGATTTGCCGATGTATACCCCCAGTCTTGACTTATGATTATTCATATTGTTGACTCTTTATGGGGGAGGTTCCGAAGCAGTTGGCCAATTCGCATCTGATCTAAGTCTGATATAAATATTACAACATGACAGGTTAGGACTACTTCCCATACTTTATATTTTTGGAAACTGCGGAAATCTGTACAGCGGACCGAAGTATCGTTTTCATACTTCATCTAATACAGTAAAAAACATTGGTATGCGGAAGTCGACTTGAAGGAAATCGAACATTTATATCCAATTTTATGTGAAATCATAAATTACTTAAAATGTTGAGGAGGTCCCAGAAGGAGTAGACCGATATATCCCATCTTCACCCCAGACGTTGGGCTAATATAAAATGTTGTGATGTGTGTAATTTGAAGAGAACCGGATATTTATTTCGGATTTTATGATAGTTTTGGTTATTCAAAATTTTTAACCCTCCGAACTCTAGTATCTTTAGAACAAATCTTATGTTGATAGAAATATTTCAAAATGCCAAATCTGGATGGAATCGGATATTAATTTCGTGTTTCATGAGCTCCATGAACATTCAAAATGTTGACCCTTTGTGGGGAGGTACCAGAAGGAGTGGACCGATATATTCCATTTCCACACCATTTTCGCACCTGACCTAGCACAATATTATTATATGCAAAGTTGGAGCAAAATCGAATTATCCTTTCCCTTTATGTGCAGTAAATTATTTTCTTTGAAAATTTTGACATTTTTTGGGGGAGGCACCAGACGGAGTGGATCGATATTAGCCATCTCCGAACTCGATCTAAGTTTTACAAAAATATTACGATGTAACAAGTTTGGACCAAATAGGATACTCCCTTCGAGAGTTATCGTGCGCACCAGCCAGACAGACAGACAGACTGACGGACGGAGGGACATCGCTAGATCGATTTCAAATGTCCTGAAACGGAATTGGCCCGAAGAGACTTAGGGTCTAAAACCGTTATTTCGATGAGGCACCTTTTTGGCCGTATCAAATGGTATATACCCTCTGTAGCCATATGGCTGAGAGTATAAAAAACAGTAAGTTCAGGCGGGCCGAACTTAGAATACCCTCCAGGAACGATTTTGGAAATTTAAAAAAAAATTAAATCCGTTACAAATTCTTTTAAAATCTTAAAAATACCCAATATAGCCGTTATATTGGGGTGTATACGAAGGCGTGGACCTGCACAGACAACTTTTGTCATTACAGCCATTACAATATTCAAATACGAAACCTGAAAAAAATCCCGTGAAAAATGTAAGTAAAATCATTAAAATACAGAATATGGGGAGGAACCGTTATATCGGGGCTATACAATTTTCTTTTGACTCTAGGCTGATTACAACAAACGGACGGACAGAGATAAATCGTCTTAGAATTCTACGCTGATCAAGAATATTCACACTTTGTTATGTCTAAAATTATTCTTTCAATGATTACAACCGGAATGACGAACTTAATATACTATGTATGGTGGAGGGTGAAAAAGGAATTATCCTGAACTCTTCACCCTTCACACATTCCTAGATCTAGTCTCGTTTTGGTACCAACGGTCAAAATTCTCCAGAAATTATACGTGTTTGATTTAAAGACATAAATAAATACGATATAAATATGGGGTAACTTGGTAACAGGTTGGTAACTTCCTTCACTTTACATGACACACATGATAATTTTTAGAAAAATATGCGTGAAGTACCAGGTATAGTCGAACGAAGTCGACTAAAACATATAAAAATATTGTGGTATGTGTAAAATTACAATCATAAATTCCATATTCACCTCAGGGTTCTGATTGAGAGAAATATTTAGATATAGCAAGTTGTAAAATATCGCTGACTAGTATTGAAAATTGTGACCCTTGGTGAGTGTGGTACCAAAAGGGGTTCGCAGATACATATCATCTTTACAACAGATCTTGTATTAGCAAAAATGTTTGAATGCGTGAAATTTGAAAAGAGTTGGATGCTTATTTCGCTTTCTTTGAGCATTCTGTTTTTAAAAATCGTGAACCCTATATAGGGCAGGTAGCAAAAGAAATGGTCCAATATCTACCGTTTTTATGACAGATCCTGTATTGATAGAAATGTTCAGATGTACCAAGTCTAAATGGAAACGAATGTTAATTTCGCGCTTTATGAGCTTAATGGATATTCAAAATTTCGACCTTTTGTGGGGGAGGTGTGGACCGATGTATTCCACCTTAACACCAGACCTTGCGTTAATAAAATTATTGGTGTGTGTGAAATTTAAAGACTATCGGACTCTTGAATCACATTTTATAAGAGTTTTAATTATTCAAAATGTTAACCCCTTGTGGTGAGGTACTTGATGGAGTGGACCGATTTTGTCCAATTCTGGACCTGACCTAGCACTGACGCAAATATTGGGATTTGGAGCAAAATCGAATCATCGTTTCTCTTTCTGTGCAGAAAATACATTTTTATACCCTCCACCATACTATGAAGGGTATATTAATTTTGTCATTCCGTTTGTAACTCCTCGAAATACTCATGTCAGACCCAACAAAGTATATATATTCTTGATCAGCGTAAAATTCGAAGACGATTTAGCCATGTCCGTCTGTCTGTCTGTGTGTCTGTCTGTCCGTCTGTCTGTTTGTCCGTCTGTCTGTCTGTTGTAATCACGCTATCTTTCGAACAAATTGAGATAGAAGGCTAAAATTTTGCACACATGTATATTTTGCCAGTAGGCAGGTTAAGTTCGTAAATGGGCCATGTAGGTCTAAGTTATCATATAGCCCCCATATAACGGTACCTCCCGATATTCGGTATTTTGATGATTTTAGCGACATTATTCACCGGAATTGTTTCAAATTTGGCATTTGAAGTTCGTAATGGACACTACAGCCTAAGACAGAAAATAATCTGTGTAGGTCCACGTCTTCGTATAGCCCCTATATAACGGTACCCCCCGATATTCGGTATTTTGATGATTTTAGCGACATTATTTAACGGAATCGTTCCAAATTTGGTATTTGAAGTTCGTAATAGATACTGCAGCATAAAACAGAAAATGGGCCATGTAGGTCCACGTCTTCGTATAGCCCACATGTACCCTACCCCCAGATATTCGGTATTTTGATGATTTTAGCGACATTATTTACCGGAATCGTTTCAAATTTCGCATGTGAAGTTCGTAATGGATACTTCAGCCCATGCCAGAAAATTGTCTGTGCAAGTCCACGTCTTCGTATAGCCCCCATATAACGGTACCCCCAATATTCGGTGTTTTGATGATTTTAGCTACATTATAAACAGATTTTTCTTCAAGTTTCGCATTAAAATATTGTAAAAACTTATGACAAAAGTTGCCTATGCAGGTTCACGTCGTCGTATAGGCATTCGGTATTTTTAAGATTTTAACAGAATTTTTAACGGATTTTATTTTTTTTCTTTTTGGAAATTGACAAATTTGTACCAAATGGTGGAGGGTATTAAAAGTTCGGCCCGGCCGAACTTACAGCTTTTTTACTTGTTTTTTTTTTTTTGTAAATTTAACCTTTTGTGGGGGAGGTAACAGAAGGAGTGGACCGATATTGTCCATCTCCGAACTCGATATAAGTTTGACAAAAATATTACGATTTACAAAGTTTGGACCAAATCGGATACTCCCTTCTAGAGTTTTCGTGCGCACCAGCCAGCCAGACGGACCGACGGACATCGCTAGATCGACCCCAAATGTCCTGAATCGGATTTGATCCAAAGAAACCTAGGGTCTAAAACCGTTATTTCGACTAGGCACGTCTTGGCCGTAGCCATATGGCTGAGGATTTGTCACTTTAATTACGTCTCGCAATTAAATGACTTTTTTGTGGCAATTTTTACACCCACCGCCGGTTTTACTAGGTTCTTTTGAAGTTCAACTTTCATTTTCTGAAGATTGGTGACATAAATATTTTTTAAGGAACCGACCTGAGGAGGTGCTGTTTAATATGCATATCTAAATGATAGAAAATAAGTTCTAAACGATGCAATGTAGAGCAATCAACCTCTTTTTCTGAATAAAATTATTTATTTAGTTGTTATTTTTTGGTTCTTTTAAATATATAAGTTTGCATGACATTTTAAATATTTCACTCTAAAGAATTTGCAATTTTTATTCGTTTAATTAAAAACTTAACAAAAAACATGCTTAACAAATACTTCTCTAATGAATAAACCCACGTAAAGAAACAAAATTCTGTAAAAAGAAATCCTTTAACTGAATAACAATCATAACCCACACTAAAACTATTCTATTCTACTCCTTATTTATAAACAAAATCGTATTTCGACATTTCCATATATTTACAGAAATATCATCTTATTGGGTCACAACGCGAGGTGAGTTTCCAAAATGAGAATCTGTTTTTGTTTTTTGTGAAATGAAAGGAATTAAAAAAAATTAATTCAAAACTATTTTCTATGGATAGGATAATATTTTTATATGCAGGTTATATTTTATAATATTCAGTTTTATAATTTAAATTATATTATTGACTATTTTTTAATGGACTCGCAAAAAGGATTGTGTTTTGAGTTTTAATATTTTATATTTTTTTTTTAATTGTCACAGTATTTGTTTTTAAATATATAACACGGTGCTACAAAAAAAAATAGATAACAATAATTAATAAGAGATACACTAAAATAAAAAAACTGATACAAAGGAAATTTTATTTATATATATTTAAAAAAAAATGATTTAATTAAAAACTTACGCAACATGATAATATAATTTAATTAATGATTCAATATCATGAACGAAAGAAGCCATTTCATGCTATGCTACGAAATAACTAACTGACTGACTAGCTGTGAAAAACGAAATACGCTAGAATACTGAAATTTCGGGAGAGGAGGATAGATGTACCAAAGGGTAGAGGTGCCAAATAGATTAAATTTAATGTTACAAGCAGTTCTAAAATGATACCTAATATCTCTTATTGCACTATTTGCTATTATGTAAAATGATAGAGCTAAAAACTTGAAGAATCAAGGTTGGAAAGTAAGCCAGATGAATGAAGGTGCTTATGGAAATGTGTACTAAATATGCGAACTGTACTAAATGATACTAAATTTGGAAGAGTCTGGTTTAGGGTGAACGGAACGGAGCAGGAATTTTGAAATTTTGTATTGGGATCCCTGTTGATGGTAGTTTTCTGATAAAGAGGTGGTTTTGGAAATGTGTACTACAAGTGCACAGGGCAAGATAAAAAAACTGCAACAAAGTCAAACGCCATAATTTTTTATTAATTTTTTTTTTTAATTTTATTGAATGAAAGCAACAACAAATGGAAATAGCATCAAATTTTAGAATAAGTTTAGATTTCTTCGAATTGTTCAACATTGACACGAATTATGGCCTTTAAATCGTCACACGCTGCCCGAATGTTGTTCTGCGGAATTTTGGCCCAATCCCGGCGAAGCGGTTGCTTGAGATGATCGACACTTTGGGTTTTTAGTGCCAAAATTGCTTTCCAAAATACTCCAGACACAATAGTCCAACGGATTGGTATCCGGAGATTTTGGTGGCCATTGTGCGCTGGAAATGAAGCGAGGAACCAAATATTTTAACCATTCTTGGGTGGCGCGTACTGAGTATGATGGTGCTGCGTCCTGTTGGAATGTCCAAGGTCTGCGGCCAAAATGTTTGCGTGCCCAAGGCTTTAATACACCCTCCAGAATATTTTCTTCCGTCCACTTCCTTGACGTCGGGCTACGCTACCAGTATCACGGTAACGAGTGATGGTACGAGACAAAAAAGATTTATTCACATTTAAATGCTGGAGTGCTCTAACGATAACTACTCGTGGATTTCCAGGTGAAGGGATAGAGTTAAAAATTTTATACTGCGATATACTGGTTTCAGAGGGAACTAATATAAGGGAACCATATCCAATTCTGAATAGATTTTCGCTAAATTTGACGGAGATATTTTATACCAAATAATAGTTGCATGATAAAATTCGAGAAGGACTATATTAAAAACCAGTAAAGAAAGTCTTAAAGTCGGGCGGGGCCGACTTTATGATACCCTACACCACTTTGCTAATTAAGTAGAGCTCCACATAACAATTAAAAGTTTATATGGGAGAATTCAATCATACACGCTATGTTTATAATTATAATTTAAAGTTCAAAGGACTAAATATGCCGAAGCATTTGTATCTTTTAAATTCGGAATTGTATTGCCCATTTGGTGCACAATTAATTTAAAATCGGATAAAGATATATGTGGGAGCTATATCCAAATCGGAACCGATCTCGATAAAATTTGGCAAAGATATTTCTGAGCTGTATTTGATATATTTCCCTGAATATCGTTGTTACGGAGTGCATATTACGGCTGTGGGTAACAAATATGACAAATCGGATGAACAGTATATATGGGAGCTATAGCTATATCTGAACCGATCTTCACCAAATTTGACATACTAGCTTCTAGACTCAATTCAGTCGTAAGTGCCAAATTTCATCCATTTCGGGCAAATATTAGATGTTTGGTGCACAATCCAAGGTAAATCGGACGAAGTTTTATATGGGAGCTATATCCAAATCTGAACCGATCTCGATAAAATTTAGCAAATGTATTTCAGAGCTGTATTTGATAAATTTCCCCAAATATTGTTGTTACAGAGTGCATATTATGGCTGCGGAGGACAAAAATAACAAATCGGATGAACAATATATATGGGAGCTATAGCTATATCTGAACCGATTTCGATCAAATTTGGCACACTTATTTTGAGGTCCAATCTGATCGTGCGAACAAAATTTCATACTATTCGGGCTGATATTACACGTTTGGTGCACAATAAAAAGCAAATCGGACAAAGATATATATGGGAGCTATATCTAAATTTTGACCGATTATCTCCAATTTCAATAGGGTTCGTCCTTGGACCAAACAAATGATTTGTGCAAAATTTAATCTGGATAGGGCAATAAATGCGAACTGTACTTTGTTTACAAAAATACATGGACAGACGGACGGTACCAAATATCATTGTTGTTGAATGCATATTACGAATGTGAGGGCTTTAAACACCAAATCTGATGAAACATATATATGGGAGCTATAGCTATATCTGAACCGATTTTCTCCAAATTTGATGAACTTGCTTCCAGACTGAATTCGGTCGGATGTGCCAAAATTCAAGTCATTTGGACTTATATATTTGGTGCACAATTAACCCGAAATCGGTTGAAGATATATATCGGAGCTTTGTCTAAATCTGATCCGATTATCACCAATTTAAATAGGGTTCGCCCTTGGGCCAAATAAATGTTGTTTGCAAAATTTCATCTCAATCCGATAATAAATGCGACCTACCTTTTTATTCACAAGAATACATGGACGGACGGACGGACGGACTGACATGCATAAATCGACTCAGAATGTGATTCTATGCAGATCATCAAAAGGAACTATGGGTCTATCTCGTTTCCTTCTACCTGTTATAAAGACATAATACCCTGACCACCTTGTGGTTTAGGGTATAAATACATACTTAAAATTGGCAGAAGTCGGGTACATTTAGAAAAAATTGTAATTAGCTGGTAGCTGTAACTTACATTTTTATTGTACCATGGTTTATACCAATGATATAAAGGTAGGGCTATGATACCATATGATTTCAATTTTTTTTTTATTTTTTTGGCTTAATATGTCATCTATATTTGTTTATGTATGTGTTTTCTTTTCAATAACAAAAAAAATTGTTCAGAATACATTCAAAATCGGGTGTTTTCAAAATGTTTATTTCAACGCATGCATCGACAAAATCTAGAGTTTTTGTAGCGAAAAAATTCTTTAGAGATATATAGTACATGATTTTGAAAAGAAGTGTTGACCTTTCATTCTGTTATCGCGGTTTTCAATTATTTATTCAAAATAAATGCAACAAGTTGTTTGATTTTTTATTGTTTTGATACTAATTCTGACATTAAAAGCCAAACAGGTAGACCTCTATACTTGCAATTTTTTCAAAGTTGACCTACCTTCTCTTCATTGTACCATGGTTTATACAATGAATGAAATTTTTCATTCTATCAACAAAAATACGTTACTGAGACAATGATATGTTTTGCCTTTATTCTTTGATGGAGGCCGTCTGACTTGGAATACATAAAATCCATAAACTTTTACAAAAAAATATATATAATTATTTCGAAAATCTGTAGCACCGTGTTATATTTATATGTTGATTAAGATACAACTTTTTACATCGAATGATTTAAAATATATATTTTTTCAATTGATTTTGTTTTGTCATGTTGTTTTCGTTTCGAAGGACAAAGAACATAAAACCGAGTGTCATAGTTGTTATTGCAAATGAAATTTTGATAGAAATTAAAAAAAAACACACATTTCCCATTTTGAAGGAAAAAAAAATTGCTAATATTCCCTGTTTTATGTTTGAAATTGTTTGAATATGAATTGTTTCGTTCTCTTTTTTAACAAATTCTAATAAAATACCTAACAATGCATACCTGCATACATACATATATACATCCTAGAAACGAACATTTTTTAACATCAATGATTTCTTTTATTCTCTAAATCCGTTTGTTTTTCTTAAATATATGTTTATGTGCGTGTTTGTGTTCCATGTGTGCTCTCAACCAACAACAAATATATATGAAACAAAAAAAAAACACCCACACACATACACATTTATCCTCCAACATATATATAATAAAAAATGAAAACCAAAATCTTGGATATGGCAGATTTAAAGATTATACTCCTACTACTGGTACTGTTATGATAATGATCCAATTTTGTTCCATTTTTTGCAATCACTTAATATTAGCATATCAACAACCACCCACCCACCAGTACACCCAACAATTTTGAATCAACTTTTTTTGAAATGAATAAATTTTTAGAAACCATTTACGAATTTCGCTTTCTTCCACTTCTTCACACACATTCACTCACCTTTCTCCTTCTTCTTCTACTTCGCCTTTCACCTGCTTGAAAGTAGTTTTGTAAATACAATTCCGTTAAGAAATTGACTTGAAATGTAAATTTTGTAGAAGGTAAGTGAAATACTAATTTTATTCATTTTTAAATCTGCTAATGTTCACAGCTCTACGCTTTTTCTAAATACACCACAGTCAAGTATACATTTATAGGATGCCAAAAAGGATTCAAATATATTTGCAGTTTAAGAGTTGACATTTTAACTCTGTGGCAAGATTTTTTTTCAGATATATCTTATAATTTTAACAAACAAATTCCTGGGGAAAATTATAATTATAATTTTTTTCTAGCCGATAACAATTTTTAAATAGATGAGAAATTTTCTGACACAATTTTTGTATAATTTGCTCTG